CCGGTCTGATCCTTTAAAGTAATTTTTTATTTCATCATCTTCATTTTTCCTAACACCATACAAAAGAAATCAACGAGCTATATTTTTGATACTCAATCGACAATGAGATGGCAATGAGGAGGGGGGGGGGGGGTAGAGAGAAAAAAGGAGAGAAATCAACGCATTTAGAACGTTTTACGCTAATCCAATCTATTATTTTAATTAACAGCAACGCTGCTTCAATAAAAATAATTTATAACAAAAATGTTTTTACATTTTTCGTGACCGTTTCTGGGGTTCGAACCAAATCCAGCTTGAAGTATGAACGGAAAAAAGGAGTGAGAGAGAAAGAAACGAAAGAGTAACGGGATGAAAACAAGAGAGAAAGTTGCCTGAACCAAAGAAGGAGTAGAAGAAAGACAAAAGTATAACGAAAACAAGGGCAAATCGACGAATGGCTTACGTCTAAGGATATAATGGTTATTCAATTAATATGTACATGGATGGTTTCTAAATAAAGACGCTTAGAAAGAAGACGACAGACTCAAATTTAATTAGTTAATACTATATAAACGACGTGAGCGAAAGAGTGAGACGGACGAAAACTTAAAAACAAAAGGAAAAAATTATACTCATTTTCATTGCGCATTTTTCTGGCCGCTTTGGAAATTATAGAACCGAGTTTTTCGACGCAACAAATGACGACGACGACAGTGACCAAGGCAACCATGCCACGTTCAAATCAAATTTTTCCGAAAAGTTTGTGTACTCGCTCGTTTCTTTCTCTCCGATTTTAATCAGATTTCTTTTGTCAAAATATTTTCATAAATTCTTTTGACTTGTTGAAATTCAATTAGCCGCTTGCTTAGTTTTTTCGGCTCGACTTTTTCATTCGTTCGTTCATTTGTTCGGTTCAATCTGGTGATTTTATCGATTTGATGGGTAAAATGTGAAATGAGGCGAGAGCAAGAAAGAGGCGAGAGCAAGAAACCAAAAAGTTATACGAACAAATCGTAACGGCAATGGAATTAGGTGGTTGATCGATTAAAACGCTACAAAAATAGAATATATATATATATATATATACCCACACTGACTAAATCGGATTTCAAACAATGAACGATGTCGTCGTCGGCCATCTGCGCATTGTGTTGCTTCAGATTGAAATATCCCCGTAGTCGTTGTCGGTTGGCCGGTCATTTGTTGCACGCTTCGCACAAGAAATGACATGTGATCATTATGTTTATTTCAATTTATGTTGAAACTATTCACAGATGCGATACGCGAAACACACAAGCGCAGCAGCTCATTGTTGTTCCGTTCGTTGGTTCGCCATTTTCAGTCCGTTTTTTCCCCTGAAAACGTGAAATGATGTTCGTGCCAGTTAGCGCTTCCGTGATGTATTGTGAAAAGTTTTCGATGTTGGTGTCTCAATGATTTTCCTTCATTTTTTGTTTGTTTTGGAAATGGTGTGGTGGTGAGTGCGAGAAATGCGCGCCCGACAAGCACACACAAAATATACGCTTCTATACGGGGGCGCCTTTGTATTATGATGATTTTGTTAAAAATTCAAAAGGTCGTTCTAAATCAGTACGTTCTGTTCCGTTGTTTCTCTCTCTCTCTCTCTCTCTCTCTCTCTCTCTCTCTCTCTTCGGTTGCCAGTTATCTTGTTCACTGCTTCATGCATGCTGCACTTGTGTGAGTGAACAAAAAGCGATTCAAAGCGAGCGAGCGAGTGAGTGAATGAATGAGTGTTGGTGTGCGCGCTTTCTTTGGTTATTGTACTTTTCCTTAATTTCGTGTCCGTTTTCCATTTTGCACTTAAGCAAATGGTGATGATAATTTTTTGTGCACATAATCCATGATGTGAGAATACTTTGTGCTATCACAAAGCGCCATACACACACATTATATACATATAAAACGAGAGGCGAAAAAAAGCAACACCGACCAACGAAACGAGGAAAAAAACGAAGACGACAACGATAACGGCGGCAGTGGCAGCAGCAACGACGACGCCGAACAAGAGAAGAAACTTCGAAATGCGAGAAAACAGCAAGCCGTTTAATGAATAAGGGTTTTTGTTTTATTGCCTCTTTGTGTACGCATTCGCTCTTTTCTTTCTGATTTTATTTCTTTCCATGTTGTTTGTTGCGTGCTGGTCCTCGTTGGTTTCTCTCTCTATCACTTTTTTTTACTTACTTGGGGGATGGCTCTCTCTCTCTCTCTCTCTCTCTCTCTCTATCCCACACTCTGTGTCTCTATCTGTGTCCTTCTCATTAACACAACTTTTTCATTTCGATTCGTGAGAATCTTTTCGTCCTTTCCTCTCCTCCACATCCTCTTCAACTGCTTTGTAATTTTTTTTTCGCACAATCTTTCGGTACTTTCTTTTGTATTTATTTTAATTTCACTGTGCTGATTAAAGTGCTTCCGTAGTATCAATATTTTATTTATATTTATTAAACTCTTCTGATGGCGAGAAAGCGACATCATCGTAGCGTATAAATGGTATTGTGTGGGTTGTTTATGTTTTATTCAATTTGAACTGGGAGGAGAGTGCGTGCGCTCCGAACACGACGAGAAGAAAAAGAAGAAGAAGAAGCAACAACAAAAAAATCCCACACACAGTTAAATTCAATTTCACTTCGACTCCAATCAAATTAAACGCATCAAGAATTTCACTTTAAACACCATCCCTCAGCACAAAGCATTCGAGGCGATGGCAATGGTTCCGTGTGTATGTGTGTGCGTGAGTGTGTTCGTGGAACAACATTTCTAATCAAAAAAAAAATGGTCCTTGGTATACGTGCATTCAGCATACGCATCTCGTGCTCTCTCTTATCGCTAATATTCATGCATGCGAATGTTGAATGAAACGATGGCATTTTTTCTATTTTTCTTCTCGAAGAGATGAACTAATAATCAACATATTAAACGAACTAACGACAAATCTCGTCATTATTTCTCTCTCTATCTCTCTTTCTCATACTCCCACTCACACTTAAACTTGCCATTTCTCTGCTCGTTCTTCCATTTTTTTTCTACTCTTTTCTTCAATTCGCCCCATAGTTCAATAGCGTTATTCCCTTCGAAAAATGTAATTTTTTGATAATTTATGAAAAAAGGGCAAAATATTTACTGTTGTTGAAATGCGAAAGGAAAAGAAAATAATCTGCAAGATGAAAAAAGAGAAAGAAAAGGTGAAGAAAAGATGTGAAGAAAAGAAAATACACACAAAATAAACACTTGCCGATTCTCTCGATACTTCGAATCTGTACAACTTGAAACGACACACCGATGCGAAAAATGTGTATGCGGGAAAAATGAAGGCGAAGCAACAGCAAAAGAAGAAGACGAGAAGGAAAAAAAAATCGAATGCCAGGGACAATTTCCTTGAAGCTTATTTTGCATAATTGAATATACCTTTTTCTTCATTTTTATTTCTACTTAATGTCTTTCACTTCGTCTTCTGTTTTTCGATGTTGCCTGTAACGAAGACACGGAATAACGCGTCTTCTTACACAATCTTCTTCTCTGCTCTAACACACACACACTCTCTCGCTATTCTCTTTTTTTCGTTATATTTCTTTCTTCAGTCAATTGCTCTCACTCTGCATTTCATTCGTTTCTTTTATGGAAAATCGATAGAAGGCTAAATTTCATTCTTTGATATACAGTATTTGGTCGCTGGAATCGGCATATGCGATTGGGTGTGCTGTGCTCTTGATTCGTTCGTTTGCGCTTCAGCTCTGCTGTTTTATGCCGTCTTCATATTTTTTGAGACTGAGGGTGCTCGTGTTTCGCGCACATCATCGCCCGTTATTTTATATTCCATTTGATTTTGTGTTTTGCGGGGATGTGTTTCATTTTCAGTTGAATTCATTTCAATTTCATGTCTAATTGTCGGGATTCGCGTGCGATTTGGTATTCTTTTTATTATCTCTTAATTTCATTGCAAGCGATTTTGTCTTCGATTTTGCCCATCACACAGCCAACTCCACCCCAATCCACACACACAGCATTCGATTTGCTCTGTTTTCGTTTCGTTTTCGTGCCACTTCATAACTAATCACATCAATTTAAAATGTTGTGATGGTAAGATTTTGAATTCGATGCCTTCTCGGTAGCTCGCTCGCCCGCTCGTTTGTTCATTCGCCCTCACTCTCTCTCTCTCTATCTCTCTCTCTCTCTCGGTATTTTTGCCTATGCCACATTCACGGTTAAGCCCATGAGAGTTCTCAGTCGATTTTGGTTTTGGTCGAAAACGGCGATGGAAAAATGCGCGCTTTATCGTGTTTTTGTTTACCTTTTTGACCTCAAAGTTCGAGTCGGAAATTTGTTATGGAATTAATTAATGCTTTTTTGCTTCTGCCCGTTGCTGTTGCTTTTGCTTTAGCTAATAACTTTTTGGCATTTTTCGTGTCTGCAGCGTTTATTGTAATGTTGACATATTTCAAAAATGTAAATGAACATTTTCGCTTTTTATCCCTCGTTTCTTATTTGCAAATTAAAATGGAAAATCACACGCCTAAACAAGGCTTAATTAATATTCAGAGATAATAGATACGTTCGTTCGTTCGCCATACTGGCACACCAGCTTACCAGCTCACCAGCCATACGGTTCGATGTGTGCGAGTGTGTCTCCCTCATTCCGTTTCTCGTTTAGCGTGTTCATCAAAACACAGGCATTTTGTGTTTGTTGACACAACAACTCACAAAAATGCATAAACAATGTCTTTGAACATTTCGAATGAATTCGCCGAACAAAGCGGGCACCGAAGAACCAAAGTATTAAGACTTTATACACAACAAAAGCCGAGAAAAAAAATATATGTATATATTCAGCTGCTGGAAGTGTTTGCGAGTATTTCGTACCCAGTTACCAAACTATATGCTAAATTTACATTCGGAATTGTAATCACAGAGTGATTTCGAAGTTTGAGTCAACCAAAATCTATTTGCTAAAGCCTGTTGGCATTGTTTTTTAATCGTTTTCGTTTTCTTCCCTTTTTTTGCAGATGGTGACGAGAACGAAGAAAATATTTGTGGGCGGTCTATCCGCTCCCACAACGCTGGAGGACGTCAAGAGCTACTTCGAACAATTCGGACCGGTGAGTAGAAACAAATCCGACTTTTCCGTTGACACACTTGTGTACAGTGCACACTGCACACTGTAGCTTATCACAATGGAAATAATCTTCGAAGAATTAATACCAAACTGCTGGCAATTATCTCGATATTCAATTGTAATTAGAAGTTTTCTCTACCCAATACTTCATCATCGTCGTCGTCGTCGTAGGTGCTTGATGAATCATATCGAGCTCAACATTTTCCTCGTAAAATGCTTATAATGATGATTATAATACTACAATACATTTATGTTGTCGGGAAGTTTTACAAGCAAACAACAAACCAAAAATGCCAGAACTCAATCTCAAAACTTGGCCTCCCCCAAAAAATTGTCCCGTTAAAATAAACACAAATATTGCTGATGCCAACGGGGTGAAGCGAACGAGAGAGAGAGAGAGCGAGAGAGAGAGAGAGAGAGAGAGAGAGAGCGGAGTATATCTAATCAGTAAACTCCGTTCAATCACCATAACACAAACAGGCAACATTTCTGCATTGTCTAAATACGCTGTTGAAAACTTGAAATCAAATCGCTTCAGTTACTCTCTTCGCACCTTCTTGTATTTTAACCGCACTTTGACTAAAACTTCAGTTCACTTTGTTATTAAAATAATTTTGTTACGTAAACAAACAACCGAATTTATATGACATCACCAACACTAGCTGAGATAAGCTTTGTGAGTGGTTCACTCCCTCTCTCGCTTTCGCTCTGTATCCATCACAGTCAGCCATTTGAAGGAGCGGAGCTATAAATGATTGAGCTCGTTCGAACGCCTTGTGCCTCACTAAAATGCGACGGAATTTGATTAAAATTTAATAAATAGCTTTACAATTTGTACAAATTTTCTCATGAAATAAACTTCATTGTGCTCGTCTATGAGTGTGTGTGTGTTAGTGCGAGAGTGATTCTTCTTTTTTTTGGTGCTGTTGTTTGTCGCTTTTCCATTTTTCATTCGGCTTACAATACGTTTTCGCATCGGAAATGTTGTCTGTTTGAGAGAGAAAGAGAGAGTTTCACATTTGCCAAAATGTATTCCATGCTCCTCGGTATTAAGTGTGCACACGGAACATACCATGTCGATTTGTATATAAACGTTCATAAAACTCTGGGTTATGTACAAACAACTATAAAAACACGACGTATGCTCGGCACATACAATGCGATTGTTTGGCAAAGAATGAAGAAAAAAAAAACGACTGAACGATGAGATGGCTCTCATTCTATCGAATATTTTGGTCTTCTTTCTCTCCCTTTCTCTCTCTCTCTCTCTCTCTCTCTCTCTCTCTCTCTCTCTCTCTCTCTCTCTCTCTCTTGTATACGCTCACTGGCTCACTCTTTCAATCACTATCGTTCTGTGTCGCTCTAGTTCTTTCGCAGTGTCGCGAGCGCACATCAACATCATCATCTTCAAGAAATTATCTATGAATAAGTCGGCACATACACGCCAAATGTGCGCATAGATTATGAGCTCAAACGTAAGCGAAGAGAAGAAAGCACCGAAAGAACGAACGAACACACGACAAGAGACAGCCAAAAAGAGAGAGATAGAACGAACTTTCGAAAAGTTCATTTTAATACATCTTTTCTTATTCGTTTTCTTCTTCCGTCTCGATTTTCTCGTTAGTTTTATTACCAGTTCATGTTGTGCTCCGTTCAGTTCACAACTCAGTCCTTCAGTTTTATCGCACGATATGGAGCGAAATCGAGAGGGAGAGAGAGAGAAAGGAAAACATGCAAAGAATTGCACTGACATAAGTCATATCGAATTATATGTTAACTATCATGCAGCAAACTTCTATTCGCCTCGAATTTGCGTAATAAATACTTTTATTATTAAAGCTATTATAATGTATTAGGGCATTATACACATTTAAAGTGTCCCAACCGAGTACACACACGCTTAAGGATTATTTTTAATTTCTTTCTTGTCGTATTTTTCGTGGCTTTGACTCGCTCCATACTCGCACTCTCTCTCGCGTGCTCCCTCTCCGTCTCTCTGTTGTTCCGTTAACGCCGACGTTGGTAACAATGTGCGCATATTTATGAATGTTTGCGTTCCATTTCCCATTTAAAATTCATTTTAGGCTTCGATAATAGCTGATTATTATCTGAAAGAGGATCAAGACAAACGATGGTAAATATAGGCGCTCTTAAGTCGAGTTGAGCCGCAAATTATAGGTTAACGATTTCCCACTGATATTATAATATTATTTTGTCTGCCTGTTTGCCAGTGTTGCTCATGGCTTGGTTTTTGACTTGTTTTGGCGATGTCGTTCATTTGTTTCTTCGTTTTTTTCCTTTTCTGGGATGGATCTTTTTTTCATTCTTATGTATGAGCTTGAACGTTGCTCTGAAAACTTCTCACAAGCCTGGTGTGGATGTTGGTGGCAATCCTCTAGCTACTTGAAGCACACATATTTCAAACACACATGCACTAACCATCCTCTCGTAACAATTTCGTGCAAGAACTTCTTCACTCTCATTCCGCCAATACTGTGTACACCATTGAGCACACCATTTTCTGCATTGTCGGATAAGTTTGTTTCCAAAACGTGCACGTGAGAAAAATTGTGTGTTCGTTTGGCTCGATGCATCCCGAACATCTCTCGCTCTTTCTCTCTCTCCCTCTCTCTTGCTCGGTTGGTGGTCTAGACGATAATTTTGCGTGTACATTGTGGTGATTTCCTCTGTGCTATTAATACGCTTTTTCGAAGTGTACAATTTCTTGTTTCTCTACTTATTCCAGATTACATCTCCCTATTTTTCGATGCACTCATAAGTCGTTTTATTACCGAGCAATGTGTAAGCACACATGACGCGTACTTCCAGTGCGATATGCACTTTCCTCATTTTCATCCTGTCTTCGTTCGTCTGCTCTCTCTCTCTCTCTCTCTCCCTCCCTCCCGCATTCAGCTTTTCAATCCGCTGTTGCAACGGTGCTCCATACATTCGCTCTTCCAATTTTCTCTGATTCTGTTTTGGAATTTTTCGCTCGACTTTTTCTCCATACTTATTGCGAAAGAGAGTGAATGAATGAGTAAGTGAGTGAGAGGGCGCGAGCGCTCATTCTATTACGGCCATAGTTCGGTTCGGTTATTTTGCTCGTTTGCCATCGTCGTTAACATCGAATAATGGCATTAGTTTTAAAAAGCAACTACACACAGTTACACTACTCGCTTTTTTTTACATACATACACACACTACGTCCAACTATTAAAGTATCACTGCACCAATCTATGCAACGAGATGCTTTTGGCGGCAATCTTGTGATATTACTTACATGAACTAACAGGCTAACAAAAACACTTCGGGAATCAAGTAAAAGGGAGACAGTGAACAAATACAGGAGCCACAGAGCCACGTACCAACACACACACATGAAACGCATTGAGCGCCAAGAAGAAAAGAAACTTTTATAAGCACTCAATTTTTGATTCCGTATACAGGAATGCGATGCACGAACTACATTCAACTTTTGTGTGTGTGTTTGCATCTCTCTGTATGAGTACGGCGTTGTTGATCCAGAAACTGGTTCAATAGATAAAAGAATTGCACGTTTCGGAAAAAAGGAAAAATCTTCAACGAGCTTACCTCACGTCTTCAAACAATTATTTTACATTTTCGTTAATTTTCTGGCATGTGAACGCATTTTATGCTATTGCTACTGCTCTCTCTCTCTATCTGAGATTTTTTTTCATTCCTATTGACAATCGCAATCTTGGTGATGTGGCACTGCAATTTGTTCTATCCTCAAATATTTAGAATACGTGCAAAATGGTGCTCGTTTTCAATTTAATTGTCTCGTAGATGGAACAACACACACACACATACACACACATACGAACTGTTCAGCGCGCACGCTGCACGCTGCACAAAAAATCACAAGACGCATATGATTGGATGTGGATAAAGGCAAACGCACGGAAAAAAGAGGTTAAAGGCGAGAAAATAAAAGAAAAAAGAAACACAAAAATGCCAACACTGGCAAAACCTTGGGCAAAACTCCATCTCAAGATTATTTAAAGTTTTCGGATAGTTATTTACCAACTACCGCTTTTATACAAACAGAGAAAAGAGTATAAGAAAAAAAATTCGCTCGTCTTTTCTCTTTTTGAATATGATACATTCCATTAAAAAGTTTCAAAACAAATGAGCTTACTTCTTGCACGATGCAATATAAGTCGAAAGTATAGGGGATATTGTTTGACTTGAGCACTTTTATGTGAAAACATACAGCCAGTCGTTCGGTCGGTTGATTGCTCGCGCTTCAACCGTAGCCATATTCATTACCACATACACATATACACAGACCTGTACAGTCTGACAAACACAAACAAATAAACGTGTCCAGAAAGAAGAAGGAAGTAATGTGAAATATATGATGCATCCTGTGAGCAAACGCTCCATGTATCCATGATACCTCGAATTATAAGTTCATGGCAATCGCAAAAAAGTGCGAGCGAGCGAGAGACGGAGAAAAAGTGAGGGAGAGAGCGAGAAAAAAGCCAAACGAAAACTTTCCAGCAAATTAATAGTGGCCTCCGATTCATCATCATTTTGGTTTGGAGCGTAAAATAAATTAACATAAGTTTTTCGATGTGATTTCTATAGTTCATATAAATTTATTGTTTTCGAGAGTGTGAGTGTGTGTGTGTGTGTGCGTATCTCGTTCTACTGGAATTTATTTCCAAGTTGGTATTCCAAACTAACCGGCGCCCGTAAAATCCGATTTAATTATGAAAACACCGAGAGAGAGAGAGAGAGAGAGAGAGAGAGAGAGAGAGAGAGAGAGAGCGCGTAAAGAGAACTGGTTCAACGGCCACTTGACTCAAAATAATGTAAATCACATGCATTGGCTGATATAATAAGAATGCTTTTTGTTCGGGCAGGTTTTTTGGTGTGCTGTGAGCAATTTGGCGCTTCTTCATTTTGTGATTCAATTCAACAAACTACACTGCAAATGAAAGTGGATACGTTTCACAT